GCTTTCCGCCTCAGTCTCATTCATCTGCTGATGGGGTCGCATCCTGGTCACCCAAGCGGGCATGGTAAGAGCCTTGCCACGGCCGCGACCGACCATAGAGATGCCGCCACCAGATGAGACACAGCGTTCCACACCAGATGCGTCGCATGATGTCAGACTCTCCCACTTGAGAGCGAAGGCGCATAGCTGCTCGAGAGGCGAGGGCTGTTGACCTTCCTCTTGGCCATTGTGACCACCGGAAGCACCACCTCCCTCCTCCTCGAGGCAGAGATCTGCCACAGCAGCCTTCACGCCACCCATCTCGACATCACCGACTGTGGCGTCCACCTCAGTGTGTTGGTGTGGGTCGTGATCACCCTCTTGACGAGGCGTGACCTCACCACTCAGACTCATGCTGAGTCGAACCACAGCACACACACAGAGATCTGTGTTCTGGTGCTCGACAAGCCTTCTCCCCTTGGGAGGTGCTCAGTGGGCTCTATAACCTGTTGAAGAAACGTGACTAGCTTCAGCGGGTCAAGAGTTAAGAGCCAGGCTTGACAAACAGCACAAACACGTCCGAAGACGCCAGGTGTGTGTGAGGCGATCGTATAGGGTTCCTAGCTCCAAACCCTCGGGTGTACGCGGCACTTTTAATTCGTCTGGGCTAGGGTACGCCTTTCTCTTAGCTCTTGCGAGCTGCGGGCGTATCATTTCCTCAACATCCGAGTTGCATGTTAGGGTGCGTGTTTTCAGACAGGGGACTTGGCCGTCAAGCCGCCTAGGGTGCTCCCTGAAACCGCTGCTGCTGAACAAATCGACGGTCGTGCAGGTTTGCTCATAACTCTCCCGCACAAGAAAGAGCACATCGAACGAATGAGAGCACATCCGCACACCGATAGATCTCTCTTCTCTCCTTCCACCGTTCTCTTCTCTCTGTCGTCACTCTCTGTCCCGGTGTCTTGTGTCTTGGCCTCAGATCCCTCCCGCTCGTCGGCATCTGTTCCGCCATCAGTCCCGTGATTTCGCACTCAGACGTATATATACCTCTCGCCTCAGGCTTCTCGGCATCCGCCTCGCTCAAGCTGCACTCGAAGGCTGAAAGCGGGTCGAAAGAAGCTCTCCACTCGGCAGATCTCACCGTCTGAAGTGCTCTCATGAAGACGCTCGCCTTGCTCGCCCTCGTCTTTGTCGGCGTGCCCTTGTCTGCAAAGGCCCAGTGTAGATTCTCCTCCGCAGCTCGGACGGAGTTCACGTCTTGCCCCCTCGACACCTCTTACATCGTAGGCAGACGCCAGCCCAGAGAAGAGCAAACAAGACGTCTTATTCATGATCACACCGTGTGGCGGATGATGTCTTTGTCTGTAGGCGTTTGACGGCCAGCGCTATCGGGCGCTGGTGACGCTCAACACGTGCTGTGGTAATGGGCAGTACAAGACGCGCTCCTTCACGGGCGGCTTCAGCGACGTCACCTACTGCGCCGGGCCCATCGGCAGCGGAGAATACATCATGACCGGCCGATGGTCAGCTCTCGGCCAAGGCGGACGGGTGGAATTCGCGTTGCGAGGCAACGAAATGAGGGGCCACTGGTGGGACAGCTCCGGCGTCCAACGTGATTGGAGCGGCACCCAATGCTGCAGCTGCTAAGCCTTCGGCCGAAGGGAGTTAGTTGTGTCGATTGCTCGTGAGCTGCCAGACAGTTCTCAATATGCACTGAAGTCAGAGCTCGACCAGAAGCTGCGATGGAGTATGAATCAGTCAGGAGGAAAGACAACAAAAGCTGGGGTGACCTAGCTGTCACTGGACTTAGTTTATCAAACCTTTTGGTCAATCTTGGCACGGAGAGAGCGGTTTCACGGAACGTTCTTCTCTGACGCATCTGCAAGCCTGAGGGTAAGAAAAGTGCCATCGAGAAGAAAAAGCGCGTCTGAGCGCATATCGTGGGCTGCCTGAGGCTTGGCTGTAATAAGTTTGGACGTCCTGGGCCGTCGTTTGTTGCCAAAATCAGTTACAGTGCCAGTGCCAGCATGAGCGGCTCCTCGAGCGGCTCCTCGGACGACTCGTCACCCCTCTCCGACACCACCAGCAGCACCAAACACCTCGTCTGCACCCACACGCACAAACACAAATCGCGTGAAGAGGCCCACGGGTAGGGAAGCCACACAAATGAAGAGGAGAAGTGCTCAACGAATCATCAGCACCACTGCTGTCCGTCTCTGCGTCTTTGTTTGGGGTGTTTGCTTTGCAGCCATTCGCCGTCTGCAAGTTCCTCATCGCACTCGCCGTCCCGGTCCCCTCACGCCCCCTCCCCCTCTCTGCTGCGGCGCATTCAGTCGTCCACCATCATTGCGACGACTGTGCTGTCGGTGCTGTGCGCCATCGAGTGTGTGCTGCTGCCGCCACTGCTGGCCATCGCACCGCTGCTGGGGGTTGTCGGCGAACACACCAATGAGAGAATCCACGATGTCGTGGACGTGGTACGAACTCATGTCACGTGACAGGCGGAGATGGGCTCGTGTCTGGTCTGCAAGGCGGCATTGTCTCTTCTTCTCGTGTGTGGCTGGTTCAGGCTGTGTTTTGGGTGCTGCTGCCCATCGGCGGGCTGTCGGTGCTGATGAACTACACGCGGCACCGCATTCTGCGGCTGTTCGCTCTGGGGGCTTTCGGCGTGGCCCTGCTGTACTTCAGCCACATCCCCGCCCACTCAGACCCGCACAAGCACGGCCACGGCCACGGCCACGGCCACAACCACAACCACAGCCACAATCATGACCACCAGCACCCCACAAGTGACAACGCGACGCACGCGGCAGCCAACCTGACCCACGCAGCGGCAGATTCCCTATCCGCCAGCGTCCCGGTTGTGTCGGTATTGTGGGGGTGGCTATTGTATCTGGAGCAGCTGGACATCATCCACACGGTGGTGGGGCTGCTGGGGTCGGCCTGCCTGCTGTCGTCCAACTATTTCTCGCACAAGGCCATCCACGCAATGGGACTCTCATGCGGCCACGGCCACGGCGCCCACGCACACAGCAACGGCCACACAGACACCCATGGCCACAGCCATGGGCATGGCAAGTCGGCCAGGGGCGTGACTGCAGTAGTGGCGCCGCTGAGCGACACGGATAGTTCGGCGGGGAGGGGTGGTGCGTCCGACGACGAGGCCCGACCGCTGAAGGGACGGCAGCACACACACATGGGGGGGGCGGAGGGGCACAGACACAGACAGCAGTGACCGGGAAAGACGGACAAGGCTGAAGGTGAGGTGTTTTTATGTCTTGTCGATTGACTGATTGTCGATCAATAAATGCAATCAATGGTCTGTCTTATCTGAAAATGATCCTCGGACGGACAGACGAGGACACGAAAGACAGGGGAGGGGAGAGGGGGAGAGAGCGAGGCGGGGACAGAGTGGAGTCGCATACCAATGGCTTCGCTTCGTCTCTCCTAGAGTGTTGCTGCATCTCTTGAGCACGTACGTCTGTCTATGTGAGAGAGTGAGTGTACAGTCTGACTGTCGGTCGTCTTTGGGAGATCTGTCGGCCTTGGGGCAACGTGTACGGGAGCTGCCGGAGCCGCGAGACACACAGACCCTCACAAGTCTGCGTGTCTTCCTGCTCCGGATGTCCGCCACGCGTCGTCCGTGGGGCCAACCCGTGTGGAATGGTTTGTGTGTGGTGCATGCTCTGTACGTATCGCGAACAGGAAGCGATGGAAAAAGATAATAGGTCTGTCTCGGCCGAAAAGCTTTCGGGCAACGCGCACAAAGGGTCAGGTCGCACGTGAAACAGTCCGCACAGTCGATGCAGACATTCGAGGTTACTCTTCAAGGCCAGCTCACTTCTGAAGGCCAGCTCAAGTTGACTGGAAGTGCACCGGTTCAACATCGAGCGCCCGCAGCACCACCTACCCGCTCAGTTCCTGCCCACAACGTTCTCTGTCGTGTCAACCGCACGGGCGGCCAGCCACATGGCAGCGGCTTTATGATGAAGACCGACGCCGGTCTATTCGTCGCTACGGCGGCACATGCGGCCATCGGAGCCCTCTCGGTGACAATAAATGTCGCCGGAAAGCCACGGGAGATGATGGTGCTCGACACGTACATCCACCAGCATTACCCAATCGGCGGGCATCCAGATCTGGCAGTCATGAGGGTGGAGGACGATCACGAGGTGCGTGCGGTGCTGCCAAAGAGGCTCTTGGTCGCCAAGGGTGTCGGCCTGCGACATCAGCTCCACTCAATCGACGCCGCCCGCTTTTTTCAAGGCCATGTGTCGGATGTTCACGAAGCTTCGCGACGAGCTGAGTCGAGTCAGTCAGCTGGCGGGGAGGAGGCGGGGAGTTCAGAGATGGTGCGGATGTGGATGAGACTGTTCGGCGTGAGCTCTCGGCCAGGTGGGTGAGATGAATGATGGATACAGACAGACATGAGGGGGGAGGGATAGCCGGCAATGAGTGGTTCGTTTCTATTTCTCTGTGGGGTGTGTGTGTGTGTGTGTGTATGTGTATACTCTTAGGCGACTCTGGGACACCTCTGGCTATGGAGAGTGGACAGCTAGGTGGCGTCCTGCACGGGGTGTCGCCTCATATGATCGGCAAACATAGCAGCAGCAGCAGCAGCAGCGTTTCCATCACCAACGAAACAGTCCCCTTCCCCATCCTGTACGTTTCCCCTCTCGACAGCCTCGAGCACCCAGCCCGCAACTTCGTCTACATCCCGCTCGCATCGTCACAAGACGAGGATTCTCCACGTTACAAGGCGGTGGAGATGCTCGAGGAGATGCCTCCGACATTCTTCCTGCCCGAGCATCTCGACAAGACTATCAGCGCCTACTTGAAGGCCTTCCCGCTGCTGACTGCGTCTGTTGACAGTAAGCAGGAGCGGGCGGACAGGAAAGAGGCGAGGACACAGGCGGCAACAAGGAGGAGAGAGGTGGCTGAGGTCAGGAGGCGGGAGGCGGAGGCGAGGAGGCAGGAGGCGGAGGCGAGGAGACGGCAGCTGGAGGAGAGGAGAAATGCGAGACTGAAGAGGAGAGCGGAAGCGGCGGAAGCGCAGCAGCAAGAGGAGCAGCAACAGCAAGAGGAGACGGGCACGAGCCGCATTCTGAGGCAAATGGCGAGGGGATTCGCTGCCATGGAGGAGCGATTCGCTGCCTTTGAGGAGCGAATTGAGGAGCGATTCGATGCCTTTGAAGAGCGATTCGATGCCGTCGCTGCCCGATTCGACGCTGCTGACGAGGGACGCGATGGGCTTGCGGAGGAAATCGCTGGGCTTGCGGAGGGAGTCGATGGGCTTCAGGAAAGGCTGGAGCGTGTCGAAGAGGATATTGATGACATGAGGGGCTATCCGCGGCAGGACCGATGCCCGACTGCATGGGTCTTCAGGAGTCTGGTGGAGGCATGGAAGGACTTGACCCAGAAGGATGAAACTGAGCTGCAGTCGGTGACACTTCGGGACTTCACTGGCATCTTGTCGAGTGTACTGGAACGCCATCCTTTCCCATCGGTATGCACACTTGCTTCATAGCCACACGCCAGAATGTCTCACAATGCACTGCGTGTGTGGCACACATAAAGTTGTTATGTGTATGTTGTGTGTGTGTGTGTGTGTGTGTGTGTGTGTCGATGCTCTCAGGACGTGAAGCTGCCGTTGGTGCACGGAGATTCCCGCCATACCCCCACCGTCCCTGCTAGCACCGCTTTCTTGTCCCAAGTCGTCTCAAGTTATCTGATCGATGATGGATGCACGTTGTGCTGCGAGACTTGGTCGTCGTGTGTGTGAGTATGTGTGGATGTGCTGGTTATGGTTCTGCTGATTGGTGTCAAGAACTCGCAAATCGACCTGCGTAGTGTGCGGCGCCATTTGTGTGCGGTGCATTGCATTTGACTGAGAAGTCACATGCGGTGCTTGCTGCGTATGTATGACGAATAAGAACAGCTGGAAAAGGATTATAGGTCTGTATCGCCCGAAAAGTCTCGCACAAGCCCACCGTCCTCATGTCAGTGTGACATAGAGGTGGTCGCGCAGATACAACAAAGGCGTTGGCCTTGGTCACTCACTCGCGTGACGATCACACCAGAACTGCCTGCCTGCCTGCCTGCCTGACTTCTCACCCAGACACACATACATGCCATCGCCATTCAAACACACACCAAACAGACAGCCACGCCAAGTCTGCCTGCCTGCCTCCCCTCACAGCAAAGCGAGCAGCTTGACCTCGAAATAAAGCGTCGCATCGGGCGGGATGACCCGCCCGGCGCCGCGCTTGCCATACCCCAGCTCGGGGGGGATGATCAGCCGTCGCTTCTCGCCCACCTGCATGGAGAGGATGGCCTCGTCCCACCCCTTGATGACCTGCCCGCCGCCGGCTGCAGATCAAGGCACGTGTGTAATGGGATGGAGCAGGGCGGTGTGTGCCTGTGCCATTCATTGACTGACCGAAGAACTCGAACGGCCGGCGTCGGTCGACGGACGAGTCGAACTTCTTGTCGCTCTCGAAGTTGTCCAGCCACCCCGTGTAGTCGACACGCACCTTCTGGTTCTGGTTGGGCTTGCCCCCGCTGCCTGCCTCAACCACCTGCAAGCCAACACACACATGCCATGATGGGCGAATGAGTGTGCGTGTCGTGTGTGGTATGTGTACCTGGTACATGAGTCCTGACGCGGACTTCTCAAAGCCGGGAGGAACGTCCTGCGCCATGGCGACAGATCGAGGTGCCAGAAGGATGTGTTGCGTCACGAGGGCTCCTCCGCCGATGAGCGCACTGCCAGCAGCACTCTCGAAGAACCGGCGGCGGGGCTGATCAGGCTGATCAGTCGATGAGGCGTGAAGCGATGTGCGTAGGGTGGGTTGTCGCGCGGTGGGCGGGAGGAAGGCGTAGGCGAGGGTGCCGAAACAAGCACCAGCACAGATCACGCGCAATGCCAGCTTGACCATCTCCTCTCTCACGGTGAGCTTGCACACTCTCCCTGGTAAACAGAGACGCGCAGAACGCCTGTACTGTTGTAGAGAATGGTTACATCCATGAGCTAGACGTCAAAGTGCGTTAAGTGTGTCATGAATTAAAAGGGCGCACGGAAAGCAATATGCAACAGATGCACAATTTCTCACCCAATGAACACAAGCATCCAGCTCATCATGCCATCCACATCTGCAGAAGTGTGTACCCGCCCCGGTGGCACGCACCCTACCCTGGTGTTGCCAAAACACCTGAGATCAATCAATTACCCATCGGTTCCCTTCTATGTGTGCGTCGAATGAATGAATGCAGCCGACGACAGACAATGGCCGGCTCAATGACATAGATCGACAAAAACACTGACGGCTCGCTCGAGTGTCGACGTGTGTGGGTGGGGCTCGCTGTGTCAGTGCATGCTGTCCATAGCAACGGAAAAATGTCAGTGTCAGTTAACCAACAGTGTGTTGAGCACACACACATTCTTTCTGTCTGTCTGTCTGTCTTGAGTACTGTACACCCCCCGACCACCGACCCACCCTTCGTTCCTTCCTTGGTCTCACTTCATTGATAGATGACATCATGCTGCTGCAGCTGCTGCTGCTGCACACCCTCACCAGCCCCCACCCCATCCCCAGACGCCCTCTGCGAGCGCGTCTGCGCCTTCAGCCTCATCCAATCAAACGCCTCCCTCCCGCCTCCCCTCTCCCCCTCGATCTCCCTCCCGTGATCCCCTTCCGCCCCAACCATTCCCTCCAGCCGCTGCACCATGTAAGTCATGTTGTTGCGCATGGCCGGGAAGACGGTCGGCGGTTTGGTCTTGAACCGCGGCAGCCGTCCGGTGAGCAGTTCGACGATGAAAGTGACGACGCCGTGGTCCTGCCACTGCAGCATGTGGTCTTGGTTGAGGAACTCGTGTGTGAAGGTGGTGGAGGGCCAGGTGCTGCACCAGGAGAGGGACGCCAGCGGGACGGTGCCGTCGCCGAACCCATAGATCCTGGTTGTTTGATGATTGGGAGGAGAACATGACATGAGAGAGGCTGTGTGTCTGTCTGGTGGATGTGCTGGGTGTGTCTGTGATAGGTGGGTGGGTGAGGGAGTACCTGAGTGGCTGCTCGTTGAGGTCAGGTCTTGTGTAGTGGTAGGAGATGTCCGTCTGCGGCTGCTCAAACCGACTCCATAGACATTCGACCGGAACCTGCACACACACACACACACATGGGTGGGGACAGACAGAGGTCATCATACACATACAGAGAAGGGAAAAGAGACAACCACACGCGGAGGCACAAACACCCCAGGCTGTCTGTCTGTCTGTCTATTGTGGCGGGTGGGTGCGTCAGTTCAGGTCTCCACGTTTTCCTCAGAGCTCATCAGCTCAGAAGAACGAAAGTTGTGTGTTTGTTTCATCCCTTGCACCCCTCCCTCCCTCCCTGTCTGTCTGTCTGTCTGTCTTTCTGCCTCTCTGCTGCTCCCTCCCCACTGACTCACCCCAGGGTCCTTCATGCCGTATCGCTCTATCTCGTTGAAGGCCTGCTGCCCCCGTGACTCCAACCCAGGCGGCAGCAGCTGCGTCCAGTTGCGCAGCGTGTAGTAGAGCGGCGGCACGCCGTCGCCCGGCTCGTCTATCACCGCCACTCGCCAATCCTCACCATACACCTAAACACACACTCACACACATGAATGCGCGAGTGTTTGTTGGCAGAAGGGGGAAAGGGGAAGGGTGTGTGTGTCTACCTCTGTTTTGGGCAGGAGGGAGTAGACGGAGCCGCAGGTGCGATGGACTCGCCTGGCGTTGGCCGCGGAGATGAGGGAGATGTTGAGGAAGTTACTGAGGTCAAAGGTCACGTAGTCGTTGTACCTGCACACACACACACACATCCAACAGGGCCTCGATGGCTTGTCTGCTGTGGTGTGTGTGGGTGTGTGGTCGGCAGCCACGAACCCCGAGATAAGTGCCCTGACGGCCTTAAAGGCCCCGCCGTAGGTGCCGCTGACGGCCACAAACTTCTCGATGTGTTTGGCTTTCCAGTCGGCGTCGACCTCCTTGTTCAGGAAGTAATTCATGTACAAAGTCCCTGCACACGCCACACACAACACCAGCAATAAACACACAATAGTGAGTGGCTGTAGGGACGCCCCAGGCTCACCCACTCGCTCACCCAGGCTGTGTCCCACAAGAAGGGCCTTCTGCCCGGTGGTCTTGACGGACTCCTCAATGACGATCCTGAAGCCCCCCAGGTTGACCTGGTTGGGCGGCAGCCGCCAGTCATACGTCAGCGCCCTCAAGGTCTTGCCCTCCTCATAGCCCACGCTGTGCAGCCCCTCCAGGAACTCATACATGTACTTGGTCCCCACCACGCCGTAGCCCGCCACATAGTCGAGGAAAGCGATCCCGTGGGTGCCCCCGAAGTCCTCTGGCTCGATGCTGACGCCCGTCTTGTTGGAGTAGAGCATGGTTGAGTCGTCGAAGGACATCTCGAGCATGTGTGTCCAGCACTCCTGGTCGGTCAGGAGCTCCTCGTATGAAGCCCAGAGGCGGAAGTTGGAGGTGGCCTTTTTGGAGCAGCCCTCCACCGGCGCATCGGCTTCACGACTGCCCAGGAGGCCGCTGCCTGCATGGCAATACATGGTGAGGAAGATGGGTAAAGACACAGAATCAATGGATGTCTGCAAGTGGATGGATGTGTGTGTGGTGGACGGGCAGCAGCGTGTTTGGCTGTTTGTGTGTCCAGGCAGAACTAACGTACCTGCGATGCCTGGGATGATGATTATCGGCTTGAGGGGCTCCGACGCAAGACCACACGGCAGCCGGAAGAGTAGGCACAGCCATAAAACCGCAGAAAGCAAGCTGTGTTCCACTCCCATCTTCATCAGCTCATGCACTGGCTGCTTGACGAGGATTCTGCGACGCTGTGCTTCGCAAGCAACTTCACCGCCTCAATGACAGACTGTTCAGTCACTCAGACAGCTTCGCTGAGCTATCGCAGCTTCGCTGAGCTATTGCAGCAGCGGTTTCATGGAGCGCCCTAGGCCTGTTATTTGCGAGCTTGGAAAGGAGGGGACGTTTTGGAAAAGAGGCGTCACAGGCGTGTTTGTCGGCCTCTGCATCTTTGCTCTGACAGCCTAGATTGAGGAGTGCGTGGGCAGCAGGCATTGATCGGCACGAGTGACGTCACCCACCGCTTGCGTTCGGTCAGTCAGTCAATAAGGGTCAGTCAGTCATGGTGGTTCTATCGGCGGCGATCTTGACCAAGGCCAAGACGCTGGTGGCGCGGCAGTTTGTCGAGATGACCAGGCTGCGGGTCGAGGGCCTCCTCTCAGCGTTCCCCAAACTCATCGAAATCGGAAGTAAGACAAGCAAAGGCAGCTGCATCTCATTCACAGGGAGGCCTTGGGTGCGTGCCAAGCTCGACGGGCATTGATGGCTCCTCTGTGTGTGTGTGTGTGTATGTGTAATGATGGCTCACTGCATCAGGCAAGGATCACACGTACATAGAGACGGAGAGCGTGCGGTACGTGTACCAGCCGATTGAGTCGTTGTACCTGCTGCTGATCACCAACAAGGCCAGCAACATCCTGGAGGACCTCGAGACGCTCCGCCTGCTGGCCAAGATTGTGCAGGACTGCTGCCAGATCACCGTCACCGAGGAGCTCGTCGTCAAACACGCCTTCGACATCGTCTTTGCCTTCGACGAGGTCATCTCGTTCGGCTACCGGGAGAGCGTCACGCTCAGCCAGATCAAGACCTACACCGAGATGGACAGCCACGAGGAGAGGCTTCACCAAATGATCGAACAGGTCAGCCAGCCAGCCGCCCACAATGCCGCGAGAGTGGCTCTATGTATCGTTGTGTTGCTGGTGTTGCCATCAGAGCAAAATCAACGAGGCCAAGGAGGTCGCGAAGCGTAAGCAGCTGGAGCTGGCCAAGCAGCGTGCGCTCCAGAAGCAGGCCGACAAGGCCAACCCCGCGGGCAGCGGCATCAGCCTCGAGGACGAGCTGCACATGAACCCTTCCGCGCAACACATGATGGACAAGGAGCCCACACCATGGGGCGCACCACACACTGCACCGGGAGCCAACGAAATGGAGTGAGCTGAGCGTGTAGGGAGTGAGTGGGCGTGACAGACAGACACACTCACGGATGGACTGTCATGTTTGTGTGTGTCCCACCCCACCCACCCAGCTCTACCGCGATGCGGGCAGGGTTGCCCAAGAAAGGCATGCAGATCGGCAAGAAAGTAAGGCGTAAGACACTGGCTGACTGCACAAAGGACCCTGTGCATCCTGCCTGCCTCTCTCTCTCTCGCTGTGTGTGTGTGTGTGTGTGTGTGTGAGCAGAAGCCTGCAGCCGAGTTGTTGGATTCCCTCCGCCCCACCCCATCTGCCGTGGCCGCATCGGCCGCATCCACCGGCCTCGAGGGTCCAATCCGCACACACGAAAGATAAAGAACCATGCAGCCCTCCATTGCTGTGTTCGTTGTGGTGTGTGTGCAGAGGACAATGGCCGTGGAGCCGCGCCTGTGAATCCCCTGCTAGAGCCCGTGACCATCAACATTGAGGAGAAGATACAAGCACAGCTCCATGCAGAGGGAGGTGCGTCAGCTGGCCGCCCGCCATGAGACATCGATGACATGTGGCAATCCGTGTGCGTGCCATCGTGTGTGCAGGTTTGAACGACATGGACATCCAGGGCCAGTTTGAGGCCACTGTGCTCGATGTCAACAAGGCAGACCTCGCCGCATTCAAGGTTAGTGGGTCATCGAGGCACTCGCTCGCACATGCCTACACACATCAGTGCATCCGTCTGTGGTGTATCCTCAGGTGTCTCCGGAGGACAAGCGTTTCAAGTGGAAGGTGCATCCCAACCTCAACAAGAGCTCTCACGCCAACAGCATCCTCGAATTCAGGGTACGGCAGCTGGCACGCCCCCGCACAACGTGTGTGTGTGTGTGTTGACGGCACCTGTGTTCGGTGTATTTGCCATGCAGGATGCATCTCGGTGTTTCAGACAGAACACCCCCATGCCGCTGCTCAAATGGCGGCTGCAAACCAAGAGCGAGGTCACCTACAGCCACACACACACACACAGACACAGACACACACGGGGACACGTGTATCCTGTCCATGCGTGTGTGCAGGAGTTGTTGCCGATGTCGGTAAGTTGTTGGATGTCGTCTACGAGCGACGGGACGGTGGCGACGATCGAGTTTGAGCTGACCAAGACGGACCTCGCCCTGCAGGACCTCAGATTCTCCATCCCATGCCCACCCAACTCTCACCCTACGGTACGCTACGCACGGATCCGGTCAATCCAGCCACTCACTCACTCCATTGATGCGCCTTTGGTTGGCATCTGCGTGTGTGTGTATAGGTTTCTAGTGCTGACGTGGGCGAGTACAGCACCGAGGGCAACGTGGTCGCCTGGTGAGTTCTTGACACACGCCCACTCAATTCGTATAAGAGCGCACAAGTGGAGGGCATCTTCTCACTCATTGGGTGTGGTTCAGGACTGTGCCCTTGGTGGACAGCAACGCGCCGACCGGGACGATGGAGTTCTCGGCCAAGACCGACAGCTCCTCTCTCCTCCCCTTCCAAATCGACGCCACCTCACAAACCACTGTCTGCAACATCGAGGTACAAACTACCCACACTCACATCCACATGACCGCGCCAGTGAGAGTGTATGTGGTGTGACCTCACACACAGGTGTTGGAGTGTTATCACATGGAGAAGAAGGAGCCGATAGCTTTTGCGCTCAACCGGATGGCCATATACACATTCACGGTCGATCAGTGAGTGAGGCAGGAAAGGGGGGAGGGGGGGCAACCGGGCAGGCAGGCAGGCAGATATCGGGCCAGAGGCAAGGCCGTCGGTGCGGCGCACCGCACCGCAGCCCACCCCGTCCCAGCCGATGCGGACACACACCCCCATGTCTTAATTAGTCAAGTGCTTTCCATGAACAGGGGAACGAACACGCACTCACGTCATTCCATGGCCATGCAGGCAGGCAGACGACAGAGGTCTTCTCGCTTTCTGGCTTCTGCGGGTCATCAGCCATCCGTCCGTTTTGGTGTTGGATGGATAGATACCTCTGACTGACTACCTTGGCTGCCTTCTTGCCTTGCTTCCTCTTTCCCCTGCTTGCGTGTCGTCCGTCTATCGCACGTCATGGTCACTGGGTCAATCAGCGAATGATGAGACAGTTTAATTCGCACCAGTCCTGCAATGATGATTGAGTCAGCCATGCGACAACCGTGTGGTGGGTTCGTGAGTGACACCGACCTACACTATGTAGCTCGCGCGATTCTCGCCGTCAGTAAACTCTCTCGCTACAAACCCCTCCAATGTTCAGTCCCCTTTTCTGACTTCGTTCGTCGAACAACTCACCCCGCACTTCTCCTCCCCTGGGACCATGGCTTCGAGTGAGAGGGGCGAGGCGACTGAAATGAGCTTGGAGCAGCTCGATGTGACGAGGGCGGCATCGAATATCGAGGACACCACGATAATGCCATCCCCAAGTGAGAGCCCGGCACCACCAATCAGGCCCGAGAGGTCCCTGAGGAGGCTGACGGTTGTGGGGCGAGGGGGTGAGGCAGACCGGGCGGCTGCGGCCCTTTCGAGGGTGGTTCTGTCGAAGGAAGAGATGTCCGAGGTGAGTGAGTCCACTGTGACTGGGGGGCGGGTATCGAGAGGGGGTGACCCCTTTCACTGTAATGTGCTTCGCTGTCGCAGGAAATCATCAAGCTGCGGTCACACATCAGGGTCAGTGACGGTGGGGGGAGGCAAGGAGGGCGAGAGAATGAGTGCTTTCTCTGCGTTCCATTACTGCGTCAGGAGCTTGACATGCGATATCAAAGCCAGAAGTCCAGGGCCGACCACCTGACCCTTCAGCTCGAGACAACACACGCCGGATATCTGAGGGAACTCGCCATGCTCAGAAACGAGGTAGGACATCAGACTCCGGATGTGCTTCATTAGTGCGCATACAATGGACAGATGGCTCCTTTGTGTTACGGGTGCAGCTGACGATGCAGGAGGATCGTTTAAAGGAGTACGAGGAGAAGGAGGTCTTCTTCATGCAGACACCCAAGATGCCGCCCGACATGGACTCAGAAATCACACGGGTCATGGGCGAACTCAGAGACATGCAGATAAAGATGGCGGAAATGGTAGGCAATGAACACATCCACGGGATGTCACACGTGTCCGTCGATGGTGGGTGCAGGGCCGGAAGGCAAAGCGGACCATCAGGCTCCTGACCGAGAAGCTGGACGAAAGCGAAGAAGGGTACGTGCGCAGAGCACAGCAAAGATACAAAAGGGCAGGAAATAGAGATTGGATTGGCTTTGTGTCATCAACCTAGCTCTCGGAATCTGCTGCTGGCCTTCAAGCTGGCCCCCGAGGGATGTTTGAAGGCCATGATGGCGACCACCACCGGCGCCAAGGCTCTGAGAGACATGATAATAAAAAACAAGCGCTTCCTTCTTGCCGGAGTCACACAAGAATGCGACGATGAGAACGCAGGTACACAACAAGAGAAGAGCAGCAATGGATCGTTTGCTCTGTGTCATTCTGAGTCATTCTGTGTCACGTTGATATATCTGCTCTCTCCTCGCACCTGTCATCAGAGTTTGAGGACGATCTTGTGGTGATAAGCAATCAGTGCACACAAACTGCGACGTTGACTCGCGTGTCGATGTGTGTGCAGTCAGAGGCTGCCGACGAGGGAAATGTTTTGGACGATCTCCAGGCCTTCACACAGCTCGCCACAGAGGCCGAGAGGAAAGCCGCTGCCGCTGAGGCAGACGATAGCACAGCATCGCCCGACACTCAACTTGCAGCAGACGAGGAAGGCACAGCGCCTAAGGGAGCCTCTGCAGCTGCCGAACAAGCCACCTCAGCATCCCCTGGGATCTCATCTTCGGCACCCAAGATTCTGCGGAAGAAGAGCACTGTCTTCAAGCAGCAGAAGGAGCTCATGCCAGCACCAGTCCGCACGAGACGGCTGTCGGGTGCCAGCAGCAACGACCAGCAGAGTCCATATGCTCTGCCAATAGATCAGCCTGCTAACAACAAGAAGCGGCTGTCAACAGACTCCCAGGTGACCATAAAGATGGCCGTGCCCCTCTTCACCGGCGACGCTATAAGAAGAAGGTCGGCAGACTGATAATCGCCTTTCTCGGCAAACAGCCGGCAGTGGAGCAGAGGAGCCGCTCAACCCTCTTGCTCGCCGACAGCTTCACCGACTTGTGCTCGGAGACCAGCAGCGACCACAGCAAGCGCGACAAGCGGCGCAGGAAGGCTAAGGAGGAGACGAAGGCCAAAGCGAAGACGGAGACAAAGAGGAGAAGGAGACACAGCAGCAAGGCCATGGCGGAAGAGCATGATGCCTCAGCGCTTGACGGCAGCAGCTACACAGACGACAGTGCTGATGACTCCGACAAGGGACAAAGGCAAAGGCTGGAAAAGAAGATAAAGAAGCGCCGTGCTGAAAGGGAGAGGAAGGGCAGACCACATGATCATCTCGAGGTAAAGCAGGACCGCCAAGCTGCCCCACACATTCCAAAAGAGAGCTTGGCGAAGCCTGAGAATCGGCGACAATCGGACAGCCCCCTATCCCCCTCACGACCAGGTCCGTTCCCAGATTACGCATCCTCAGCGGACGATTCCTCAGGAAGCGAAAGCGAGAGCTCCTCAAAGGCGTCCGAGTCATCTGAGCCGATCCGGCCATCTAAGCAAGCTGAGACAAGAGACCACAGAAGCTCTTGTTCGGCCCCAACCGAGACCGTCCAGCCACTTTCCTTCGAGCCTGACGGCATGCAATCCACCCACCACTTGCCCTCAAGCAGCGGCGGCAGCAGCGGCAGTAGCAGCAGCAGCAGCAGCAGCAGCATCCACCACACGTCTCTAGTGCAGCCATCAAGGCGGGCCAAGGAGCCTTCCTCACGCCCCCGCCTCACTCAGATTGCTGCCCGCACGACTGATTCGTCTTCGGCTGACGAGAGGGCCTCTGAGGGAGTGGTGTCGGTCGGCGTCCACCCAACCCTCTCGCATTTCCCACCCAGGGCCGTACAGGGGACGCACCGCAGCCTGCTTCGGGCCCCCCTTGGTGTTCCGCCTCGAGTGTCTCACGTCGAAGTGAGGAAGCTGGCCAAGCGGAAGCAGGCAGAAGCAGCGAATCACGAGGAAGCCCTGCCGTGGGAGTCCCAGCTGCGGAGAGTCAAAGCAGCAGACCACGAAGACAGCAGGAGGGACCAACGGGAGATGGCCGAGTGTCTCTTCCTCGGCAGTGAGGCTTACGAGCCAGACGACGCGAGAAACATCATGCTTACGACCCCCGTAGCCCCTTCCACGTGCCCCTTCCCCCCTTCCCATGCGCCCACTGCATTCGGTGCCATGTTGCTTCCTCCCCTGCACGATAAGGGAAGCCAGAACAAACAGGCTACCTTGACCATGGAGACACTTGGCATGCTTGAAGACATTGATCGCCTGGCAAGGACAGCGAGGAAGAGCGAGTCGCGGCGCGCCATGCGGAACGTGGCGTGTCAGACGCCCCGCAAGAAGCGATCAAGGCAAGAACAGACAGCCCAGACAGATGAGATCGAGATAACGAAGCGCAAGGAAACGGCTGAAGAACAGCAGGGCTCGGCCGTGGCGCAGGAGACAGCGGCTGGTGGACGAGCGGACAAGGAGATCAACGAAGACGCGGTTCTTCAGCAATGCTTCGAGCTGACTTCTGCTCTCTGTGCCAAGATGCGAGCGAAGACCAACGACGAGCAACCACCGCCAGCAGTGGCCACTTCGCCTACGACGGCAGCCGGCAAGGACGAGAGGAATTTGAATGACCTCCGACGCCTGTTTTCCGCCGCCCAGATACGAGCAGCCAACCTGAAGCGCGCCATTGGCCAGCCAAATGGAGATCATCCGTCAGGCCGAGCCGCACGAGCTCCGAAGAATCACCCGCGAGTACCTGCACAGCTCCCTTGTGATCCCTGAAGACGAACACGACAACATCCGGCCACTCAGCCCCAGAGCGGCCATGAATCAGCCGCTCACATCGTTCATCAACAATGAGATGCTTACGTGGCTCAAGGGTGAGACCAAGGCCAGCCCTTCCTCCCGCATAGACGTCCCTGCTCGACAGCAAGACGGGACCGACGTTCCACCAACTGTGCAGATTATCACCATCAATGACCCCACAGATGAGACGAAGGCTGACGGCACAGACGGGTTGGACTCCGGCCGCTGCTGGGGCCACGTCAAGCCGTCCTCATTGTCAGATGGCGGCGAGGGCAGCTCTGGTAGGAATCTCCTGTCGCAGCGCACGATGCCTCTCCCGCTACCTCCCCCGCCGTCCGCCAGATGAAGACCACTGAGCTGGTGCTGTAGAGACACCGATGTTTTTTGGTAGCAGTGAGTGTCTTCCGTCTCATTCTCATAGACTTGTTGTTCATGGCGTGATGGAAGCCCTATACACGGGAGTAAACTTTCTTCTGGGTGAACTTTCTTCTGCTTGCCTGTGACTTCAAGTTGACGCAAACTGCTGCGAAAGATGTTCACAAGCACTTGATCAACAATCGTTCGGTCCGCGGAGAATCTGTCCATTGCAACAGGTATGCAACGTAGCCACCATGCAATGCAGCCGCCACGTTTTTATTATCGACAGGCCCGCTCATCTCGCAATATATCCCTCACTCACTCAGCCACGCACACCCATGAGCGCCAGTGTCACTTGCACCTCACCCACACTGGCCGCCTTGCCCCTTTCCCTCTTTATCTCCATCTCGCCATGATCTTCATCTTCATCTTCTTGGCAGCAGCTTGTCGCCCCATTGTCAGCAGTGGCGCCTTCCTGCTCCTCATCCATCTCGCTGTCCGCCGCTGCAGATCCGTCATTGTCAGCAGATTCCTCTTTCGATGTCGCTGCTTGTGCTGCCGATTGATGCTCAACAGACGTGCCGTCTTGTGGCGGGTGGGAACGTGAGAGCCGCTGGTATGGATGAGATCTTTGTGCTCTTCGCTTGGCCGCCGCCTGCTGCTTGCGAGTTGCTGCCGCCTCGTCCGCATATTGCTCGTCGATGAGAGCGGCGATGGCGAGAAGGCCAGCTGCACACAAAACAACTCACGAGAATGAGAACATGAGCGGGATGCACGATCTTTGCCTTACCATTGTCGGCGATGCTTGCTGGTGCTTTGCTGATGAACAGGGGATGCTCACATCCATCCGACGCGGACATCGCAAAAGGAGGAGAGATTGCCGAAGAAAAGGCCGGCTAGGGTGCTCCATGAAACCGCTGCTGCCGGCGAAGGACGAGGCGCCTGGACGAGTTTCTTGCAGCGTCTTTGCTGCATCGTATTGTATTGCAACAGATCTGCGCATCCCTTTGTTGCTGCCATCAATGCCTGAACCTTCAGACACAGAGGGCATTCCGTCGCCTGTTGACGTCGACTGGACTCGTGTGGACGAGGACTATCTGAAGAAGCGGCACCGCACCTACCTCAGCGTCCTGTTCGACAGCACCTACTGGGATGACTGGACGCCTCGCGACACCGACGTGATTGTCTGCACCGCTTACAAGGTGCACACACACGAGCAGATTTGCCTGACATCACATGCTTCTCTCACTCTGTTCGTGTGTCAATCAATCATACCATCAGAGTGGCACCACATGGATGCAGCAGATAGTGTGCCAGCTGCTCTTCAAGGGAGAGGCCTACCCCGGCGGCAAGGCCATGCACGAGATCAGCCCGTGGCTGGACTGCCGAATAGGGGAACCGCGAGAGGACAAGATGGCAGCCCTCGAGGCGCAGACCCATCCCAGGTGCCTCAAGACACACCTGCCCTCGGACGCACTCCCCATCCATCCACAGGTCGGTTGTTGACACGGGGGCGGGGCGGTGGGATGAATTGTGGGATGACACGTGCTCTTGTACTCATGTGGATGGATGCAGTGCAAGTACATCTATGTCGCGAGGGATGGCCGCGACGCCTTCATGTCAATGCTCAAGTGAGCTGGACAAAAGCAAAGACGCAGCATAGGCAAAGGAGAACCCGTATTTCTGTGGCTCTGCATGTGGCTGCAGTCACTGGAAAAATACTAACGATGAAACTCTTGACGTGAGGTATGAGAAGCCTGGCAGAGTTGGGCCCCCGATGCCCCGATGGACGGACATCGAGGACATTGACGAGTCAAAGGCGTAGGAGAGGAACGAACACATTCATAAGGCGCTGGTTTGCACTCTTGCTTGTTGTCCTCAGTTTCGACATGTGGCTGTCACAGGGCTGGCCATCTCACCCCTGGTACCTACCACACACACAGCGGAGACACCAATCCCTCTGAGTCCATCTGTGCGTCCGTGTGGGTGTGGTCGGTGCAGGGAGACCGACGGCTGGCCGTGGTGGTCGCTGTTCACCAATGTCGAGTCGTGGTGGCACCTGCGAGGCCTCCCCAACGTGCTGTTCGTGCACTTCAACAAGCTCAAGAAGGACCTGCCCGGCGAGATGCGACGCGTGGCGGCCTTTCTGAACATCCCCATCGATGAGACCATCTTCGACGAACAAGTCCGAACGCCACACGCACACACACGTATTCTCTGTGCCGCAATTGACTTGTGCTGTGTCGGTGTGTCGATGGGTGTAGGTGGAGCGGTGCACATTCGAGCACATGAAGGAGCACGCCCACCTGTTCGCCCCCGCTGGCGGCAGGGTATGGGAAGGCGGAGCAAAGACTTTCATCAACAAGGTAGATGGATACCCAAGCACACGATCAGCACACAACACAGAACACGCACCGATCGCATGGGTGTCCGCAGGGAACAAACGGTCGGTGGAAGGACGTTTTGACGCCCGAGCAGGTCATCCGGTATGAGGCCAAGGCAGCGACGCTGCCCCCAGGCTGTGCACATTGGCTGGCCACGGGCAAGTTCATTGACAGCGAAGACATCGGCAGGAAGCCGCTCGCTGATTCGCTTGCTATCGGCGGCTGACGAGCGAGTGGATGCGTGTTTGCTGAATGAATGATGCGTGTGGGCTGAATGAATGATGCATGTGTAACATTCAAGTGACGCGTGTGCATGCATTGTCCGTGTGTGTGTGTTCCATCCGAATGAGTGCTGGCAGGACACCAAAGATGACGCCCTGCTCGGGAAAGGCTTTGCAGAGTCACATTTTTGGTGTTCCTGTCGAGGGCCCTTTCTGCGCTATGTCGTGTCATTGGTCCATTTCATACTGCGCCGTGCTCTTATTGCCTATCACGAACCGCGCGTCGCCGTGCATATGGAGATGTGCTGTGCATGGGGAAGGCGGACATCCGGGTGTGCATGTATGTCTTGGGACAAGCTGATGACCCATGGTGGATCGATCAACTTGCGGGAGACACATCCACTTATCCTTGAGGCGCAGTGGACATGTAGGTTAAGGGCATGTTTCAGCCAATCAAGCCGCACATCCACACAAACATCACTCAGCCGCTCATTCTTTGCCATTGCCATTGCCACTGTCACTGTACTCCTCTCCTCCCACACCATCCCCATCCTCCTTAGCCAGCCTCTGCTCAAACTCATGCAGATCCCTTAGTGTCTCCTCAACCACATGAAACCTCAACGCATCCACTGCGGCCTCACCCCAACCACCACCACCACCACCAGGAGACACCACTCTACCGCCCTCCTTCTTGCCACCGACACCCACAGCCGCAGTCGCAGGCACGTCTCCATGCAGCATGGGGATGCCTTTCGCCACTTGTGTGTGGGGGGATGAGGGCAGCGCCGGCCGAGACACCTGCACAAAAGGCGATGCAGGCCTCGATGAATGCTGCTCTGCCGTCACTCCCAGATGTCCGATTCTCTTTCTTGTGAGGGAGGGGATCGGGTCCTCAGCATCGGCAGGGTCGTCACCGAACCGGCGCAGCAGCTCCGGCGCACGCACTACCGCCGTCGCATTGCCGTCTGCATCCTCCATTGTGGCAAGCAGGTCCGGAGACGGCAGAGGAGTGCCGGGTGCGATGGCTATCTCAGATTGGGGAAATTGACGGGCCTCTGCGAATAGCGGGTGGGTGGGGAGGGTGTCTCGTTCTTGTGTCTCTCGCTCGACATCGTCGGCTGCCGGCGGTGGCAGGGCTGTCATCTCGGGGGATCGGCCAAACACAGGTTGGTGCACCCGAGTGGCGATGGGTGTGTGGTCGATCCGTGCGTTGCCCCCCCACTTGTCCCAGTCGATTGCGTCGCGCCAGTGGTCCCGAAGCTTCTGCGGCTCCAGCAGATGGGCCCGGGGCAGTGGCTTTTGGGTGGCTTCCTGACAGTCCATCCACACATGCCCCTGGCCGGCCAGCAGTGTTGATGGGAGCTGCCAGGCAGAAAGAGACCCGTCAGAGTGCCCCAGCAGCACGGTCGACGGATCAGCCGCTGCAAAGGAGATGCGGCTGAAGTCTCCGAGAAGGTGGGGGCCGGGCAGACCAGTAGAGAAGTCCAGCACACACACGGCTCGAAGGCCTCTCCCTCCGTCTTCGTGCATCGGCTGTGTTGCCGCAGCAGAAGGCTGCTTGTGGTGATAGCGATTAAGAATAGGGTGTGTGGCGGGGTATAGAGTGTGGTGAAAGGGCCAGCCGAGCGTCCCCTCCTCATGGTGCTCCTCTGGCGGCAGCCGACGTGCACCCTTGTTGTACTCGCCTGGCTCGTAGAGAATGCAGCCGACGAGCAGATAGCAGCCTGTTGGATCAGCCACGCACTCAATGGGGCGAGGTGGGGAGGACATCTGCAGCAGGGGGAAGGGGCGGAAGTCTACACACGCCAGCACTGACCCCGTGAGCAAATCAAACACCACCACATCGAGACCAGGAGACGCCATCGCCATCTCATGTCTCTCCTCGCTTCTCGCGATCGTGTCCTCAGCTGCTGGTTCTGGTGCTGGTTGGGACTCTGAGGGCGGCTGCTTGTTCCGGACGGCTATAGCTACGAGAAAACATCCAGATGGGTGCAGGCAGAGCTCGCTCAGCTGCTGATGGCGCCACGGCAGGCGGTATACCACACAGGCATACTTTGCGAGAGACTTCCCCAGGGGATACAGCTCATACAACACCGCCTCCCTTGCGACCTTATTCGTAGAGGACAGCGCAGCAGTGACCACACACATCCCCTGACCGCTCAGAGAGGAGGTCGCTTGCCGGTTGTTCCGGTGGTGGTCTGGTGTTGTTGCCCGAGGGACCAGAACAGCCTTCCTCTTGTAATGCCTCTCCTCTCCCTGCTGAAATGGCGGCTCGATCATCTCCGCCCTCTCCAGCTGTGGGGCCCTCAGCAGATCCACCATCCCATTGCCGTAGGTGGCCAGCAGCAAGTGCCCCTCGGCCGAGAACTCCAGCGAGACGCATGGCGACGGCCGTCCCCTCCTGGATTGTTGTGCTGGGAATGGGGAGGGCAGCGCTGTGACGTCCTCTGGCCGACTGGGGGCGGTATGGCGGTCATCATGTGGGAAGGGGCGCACTCGGACCGCTGTCCAATCGTAGGGCAGAGGCGGACACAGTGAGGTGAGACCTACCACAAAGCTGCCCATAAAGAATGTGGTAGGCACATCGTCCTTAGGGACTCACCTGTTGGGTCCGCCTCAATCGTCCGGCTCTTCCCTGCTCCCACAGTCGTGGGCTTTGTGTCCTTTGTCTGTAGCTGAGCCTCGTAGATAGACCCGTCCACACATCCGCAATAAAGCTGCCCCTCTCCCTGCAGCACCCCAATCACATCCCCATTCTCTCCTTCACTCCCACTCCTTTCCACCATCACGAGCGACGGCCCCTGAGGCATCATGGGCACCAGCGGCCGGAACGCCACACAGCACACCTGCTGTGTCGCCACTGCCCGACCAACACCCATCGGCACCCACTCTGGGCAATCCGGCGGATGGCGCATCATCAAGGAGGGCGAGAATGACTCAAGGGGTTGTGGGTCGATGGACTGTCTGTCGATGGTTGGCGGGCCATTGAAGGAGGGGAAGCTTGTGCGGAATGGCGGTCGGCCGCCGCTGGGCCACGTGATGATGTGTGGGTCGCGTCGGGAGCACGTCACGAAGGCAATAAGTGTCTCGCGCTCTTGCAGGGGGGATGGCGGCATCGCCAAAGACAGAGACACCGGGCTGGCCACACCGAATAGAGGTCCGGTGTGTGTGAGGCGGTACATGATGTATCTGCCGCTGGAGACGTGTACCACTGCAGTCGTGCCGTCGGCATAAGTCAGCAGCAGATAATCCTGAGCCGATCCCCAAGCCATGTGCACCACCGTCAGAAACGCCTTGTGTGGGTGAAGGATGCCCAGCCCATCAATCGATGGTCGCGGGATGGTTGCTTGCACCGTCCAGTCGTCTCGCCGGTACAAGAGAAGGCTCCCCTCGTGTGTGCCGAACGCCACCGAATCGTTTCCCGTCGCAATGCTCGCAAAACTCGAAAAGGGCGTGGGTGGCTCGATGTCAGTAATCGCCGCGCCATCAGAAGACAGCACGACGGCCCGCCCACTTTCAGTCAGCAGCAGCAGCTGCCCCGTGCCTGCATGCACTTCGAAAGTGCTCAGGCGCTGCTTAACGTGGAGGCGAGTGAGCAGCACGATGGCGTTGGCTTGCCACCGGTAGAAGCACAGCCGATATGGCTCCAGGGTGACCATCTGACCGTCGAAGGGCATGAATCGAACCGCTCTCACGTCCTCAGTCGAACCCACATGAGCAAAGGCCAGCGTCTCGAAGCCAGCATCGCCCGATGCATGGATGTCTCCCTCCTTCTGCCGGTCTTGCGTCTTGACGAATGGCTGCAGAGAGGGCGGCCTCCACTCATAGACGCCGATAAATCCAACAGCAGCCACCTGCACCGCCACATAAATGTCGGGCCCTCCCTCGCCACCGCTCGATGTCTCATGAGTAGATACGAGCGGCCCATCAATGCAGACGTCGTCGCACGCCGCCGAGTTGGATATGTTCGCCTGGCAGACTGCATGCCCGTCTCGGGTGCGCCAGGCCGTCACCACCAGCTCGTTGAGGCTGTTGACGGCGAAGCCGAGCAGGTGGCGGCCTGAGGCGTCGAATGCCAGCTGGCGGCAGGACCAGGCCCATGGCGAGGGGGGGATCATGTGTTTGCGGTCCTTGAGGTAGTCCCAGAGCACCAGAATGGACCCCGCCTTGTAGACGGCGATGGAGAAACGCGGATGCCCGCGTAAGCCGCTTGTCCCGCCGCCCAGGAGGCCCAGCAAAGTGAAATCCGCCCTCTCGGACATTGTCTTGCAGAGCCACTTTCAACGGCCGACAACGCCAAAAAGCTTGAGCTCGCACGATCCGAATTTGAAAGGCAGATCTGCATGGATGTTGCACTTCTCCCGCTTTGTCGTGACGTAATCGATTGATGAATCGATGCCCCAGCTACATTGCTCGCCGAATGCCACCCATGCCGGCAGCAGCGCGAAGGCGACGTAATCTGCGAGTGCATTCACTGCCCTTCCAGCCAGTAAGGGGCGTTGCGCATCTGCCTCACGACGCCGTTGATGCGAATCCCCAGGGCATCCCGCAGCGCGAAGATGGAGAATCTCCTGCAGGGGGGACGGATGAGGCGAGTGCGTTGGCGTACCCCTCTGGCCCTCTGCCGACACTCACAGGTCAGCAGCGAGCAAGCAAGCAACAAGGCATGCACCCACCCAATATTTATGACGACTGCATGTGCATTGCTGATACGCAGATGACCCTTCCACCCGCCCCACGCTGCGCATCCGTCCGCCAGAGGGCAGCACTCACTTCGACCTGTCCTTGGCCAACAAGCTGCCCTGGATCTATTCTAACGAGGTGCAGAACTTCGAGGAGCTCAGGCCACTCTCACCGTGCATTGTCAACATCTTCGACAGCGAAGGCACTGGACACGGTAGGTAGTAATCCCACACTAATACAACCACACGCAACGCCGGCCTGCTGATCCGTGCGCACGTATCTGTGGTGCAGGGGTGGGGACCTACACGATTCACAGCCTGATAGCGGGTCGCGTCGTGAGCGACAATGCCTACATGCCCGTCGACCGGGCCTTCCTGGCGGGCAAGATCCGGCGTGCGATGGAGATGCGGCGGCACCTGCCGCTGGGGAGGGACAGGAGAGCCATTCAGAGGGACGACCACGGGCCAGTCTTCTGCCGCCTTGTCAACGGGGAGGGAGATGACCTGCCGGGGCTGGTCATCGACAGGTGGGTCACACGGTCGGGCGGGGAGCGGACGTATGCACATGCTGTGCTGCATTTGATTCTCCCTCCCTCTGTGTGTCTTTGTGTTCATATATGTCAGATATGGGTCGATCTGCGTGGTGCAGCACCTCACAGGTGGCATGGAGCGGCTTCGCGAGTGCATTGTGGGCGCGCTGGTCGACGTCATGGGTGGGGACCTGACGGCCGTCATCCACCGCAACGACTCGATTCGAAGGCGGCAGGAGAGACTCGCACTGTGGAAAGATATGCCCTATCAGAAAGGTGGGCAGATACACATGGACACGCCCTCATTGACGGTGCGTGCATACGTGTGGTTGCTTCCAGATGGCAGCAGTGTGTCTGATGTGTGTGAGACCACCGTCACAATTCCCGAGGCGGGATGCTCCTTCCAAGTGGACCTGATGGACTCCCCCAGCACAGGCTGGTTCTTCGACCGCCGTCCTGTGCGGGAGGAGGTGGCGCAGCTCGCCAAGGGCAAGACAGTCCTGGACCTTTTCTCTTACGTGGGAGGTCAGTACACGAACAGACAGAAACACACACGCATCGCATCAACACTGCCTCTTTACATCCCTGCATGTGTGTCGCAGCTTTCGGTGTGACGGCTGCGGCCAGGGGTGAGGCCAGCAAGGTCACGTGCGTCGACAGCCACGCCCCGTACCTGCAAAGAGGTATGTTGTGTCAGTGGTGGGGATAGGTTGATGCAACCAATGCACGTGTGTGTGATGGCCTTGGATTGCACGTGTGTGTGTGTGTGTGTGTGTGTGTCAGGTGAGTGGGCAGCTCAGTCTGCGAGCGTGGCCGACAGGGTGCTGTTCCAGCGGGCCAATGCGTTCAAATACCTTCAAGACGCCATAGACCAGCGATGTGGGCTGCACACCCCTGCCCGCACGGATGCTAGTTCCTCCTTCTATCTGTCTGTCCGTCTGACTATGTCTTGACTGCGCAGTGCAATGGGACATCGTGATTGCGGACCCGCCGAACTGGACGCCTCTCATTCACCAAACCGCGGTATGGACACACAGAGTGCGAGTCTTGTGCATGGTTGCAACTCTGTGTGTCAGCTCGATCGCGGCGAGCAGCTGTTCTTCCGATTGTTCAACCTCGCTGCCAAGGTATTTCCCTCCATCCTTCACACACCTGTCTGTCTTGTCCACACTCGCACGGTATGGTGTGTTGTGTCTGCGTCGCTCTGTTCAGTGTGTGGCTCCCGACGGCTACCTGGTGGCGCTGGTGAGCTCCCGAGCCTTCCAGTACCGACACCTGATGCAGATCCTCACCGAAGCCATCTACCAGTCCGACAGGAAAGGTAGGTAGGTAGGAAACCGAGAAAGACAACCAAGCGTCCTTTGATCTGTGTATGTGTGTGTGTCTGTGGGTGGGCGCTTGCAGGTGTATTGGTGTGGGAGGGCCAGGTGTCCCCCGACCACCCCATCCACATCGGCCTGCCGCGCAGCAAAGAGCTGCACACCATAATATTCAGACTCACGCAGTGACTGACTGACGGGCCGGCCACTTTGGCTTGACAATTGTGTCCAGTGTCTCTCTTGGTACATGTATATACTTTCATATGGACCCGTGCATATGGACTCCAAGTGGAGTGTGTCATTCGACGAATGAGCAAAGAAAACAACCGGTCGCCAACCTCGCAAACCTCGCCAGCAGGAGGTCAAAGGGAGCACCCTCGCCAAATAGGGTGCTCCCTGAAACCCTGTCGCCAAATCTGGGAGGAAAACCTCCGAGAAAGCGCATAGGAAAGGCAGGACGTCACACGCTCTGACCGCTTCTCAGCTTTGTGAGTCGAGAAGCTGACGAGCTGCCTCCTCTGTTGGGGTTCGACATCGCATCGTCGTCGCTCGTGCGTTCGAGTGGCCTCTCCCTGATTGACGACTCGTACGCCCGTACACATCTAAGCGTACAGGTGAGGCCGGCCCAGATGGCCACAGCGATGGTCGCGCACTGATGCGTCACGAATCGAATCGAATCAGCGTCGTTGTGTCTTCCTCTCTCCCGCTCCCTTCCTGTGTGATGTGACGCAGTCGGTTGGTTTGGCTGCCCTATGAGCTTCCAGCTCAGTCCGTTCAGCACAGGAGGTGGATTCGCTAACCCGCATCACTCCCTTCAGCATCATCAGCAGCACCAGCAGCATGGGCTGTTCACTTCGCAGCTGCCGCCTGTCAGCCTCTTCACCTCCCTGAACGCGCCGACAGCGGCAGTCCAGCCACCATTCGGCCACAGCGGTAGCACCACTGGCAGCAGGCATCGCAGCTCGTCGGTGCAGCCGCCACTGGCTGCAGCGACGCACCATGCCGCCCGCTATGGCACCATGACTGCAACCGCACACACAGGCGCCTTTCCTCTTCAGTCTTCCCACAACGCCCACAGCACCCAGCATTCCCACCAAGGACGGCACAACTACGGTGCTGGTGTAGGCGGGGGCGGAGGTGGCATGCAGAACTACTCATTCCAGAGGCACCAACACCAGCAGCAGCAGCAGCATGCCCACCCCCACTACCACCACCAGCACCAGGCGTCAACGAGCAGCTTCCCTTCCTCGTCGATCATGTACCCATCGAGTGGGGCCTCACAGCGGCAGACGCCCTCAACTGTGTCGTCAACACACAGCGGCGCCGGCACCAGTGTCAGTGTCGCCAGTGGTGGGGGTGGGAGTGGGGGTGGGAGTGGGGGCGGTTCCGACGAGCCGCAGTATCAGGCCTTCAACCCGCCCCAGGTCTTCTCGGTGGGCCCACCCCTGCACCTGGGCATGTCTGAGCGCCAGTACCGCGACGCCGTGTGGAAAGTGTAAGTGGTGGTCAGAGGCGACAGGGAGGAGAAGGGGCCAAAGCAGAAAGCGACCATACTCCCTCTCCCTCCCTCCCTCCCTCTCTGTCTGTCTGTCTTTGTGTGTGGTCAGGATGCGTGTGTGCACGCTTGGTTCGCGGACGCCCATCGAGACGCGGTATGCAGAGGTGTGCCACACCGCCGAGAAGTGGGTCCACCACTATGTGCAAGATGCCCATAACAAGGTGAGCAGGACGCACCGGGGAATAGACTTCGGCCGAGGCAACTCCTTGAGACGTGTGTCTGTGCGGTCCTGCTCTCTCTCGCTGTCTCTCTCTCGCTGTCGCTCCTCCTCCCATTACTCCTTCTCAGAAACTGAATTGGGTGCAGCTGTTCCATGAGAAGTTGGCCGAGGAAGAGCACAAGAGGCGCACTAAGTTCAAGGAGAAATGCGTCGGTGAGTGCAGTGCCTGAATACACACACTGCCACACACACAACACAGCACACACGCCATCCCTCCATGCCGTCTGTCTGTCTGTCTGTCTGATGTGTTGGCTGACTTGGCTTGACCTGAGCAGCCAAGGCCCAGGCCCAGGCTCGTCATGCCCACAGTGGGGGACAGCCACAGCCACAGGCACAGCCACACTCGCTGTCGCCTGCGCCCCGGCAACCTGACGGACGCCATCCACACATGAATGGTATGGTTGGTATACACGCACAAACAATGGGTAGACGACACACCAACTGTCTCTCTCGATGTCGACCAACAGGCGTCATGTATGGTGCTGGTGGCGCTGGTGGTGTGGGTGCGTCGTCCTTGAGGTCGCCATTTCCCAGCACCAGTACAGGGGCCATGGCCAGTCCGCAGCCGGCAGCACCATCAGCGAGGAGCGGCCACTACTACGGGCAGCCCGAGGGCCAGCCGCCACCAGCCGCCCGAAAACCACAGCCACCGATGCAGCAGCAGCAGCCGCATGGTGCTGGGTATTCGCTATGTGAGCCGACGGGCATGCCCACGTCCTGTGTGTTGGACGGCTGGCCGAGCAAGCGGTCCCCTCCTCTCTGTCAGCCGCCCCAAGATGGGGCCTTGCGGCACTTGATGGGCGGCGCACACCCACACGCGCACGGCATGGGCATGGGTATGGGTATGGGAGGAGGGCACACCACCGCGCCCTCGTCGACCAACTATACTGACGGCTCTCCTGAGTCGGGTGTGGGGCATGCCAGCCTTTCCACCACGGCCAGCACCTACCAGCAGCAGTCCAGCGACAGTGACGTCCAGGTGTCCATACCGTCGCCTCTGACCATCCAATCGTCGGGCAGCGGCAAACGAGCCACCAGCAAGAAGCCCGACAGTAATGCGTCCCCGTTGGTGCATCAGCCTGCCGTGATCGACCTGAGCAGTGACGGCGCTGGGCAGCAGCGGGGCCCCCAGATGGCCATCCACCCGACGCACCTTGCCGGAAGGGGGCAGGGGGCTCAGACGGACAAGTCGACGGATGCCCTGCTAAAGCGCCTTCACCAGAGCCCCGTCCCTCAGGCGGCTGGCAAGAAGCGTCATGCATCGTCGATGGCTGCTGGTGCTGGTGCTGCTGGAGGCGCTGCTAGCCCATCTGAGAGGGAGCCTGAGCACGAGCCTCTGGCTGCCGAGTCGCCGAGGGCACGGCCGCTCAGCAGTGGCAGTGGTGGCCGCCCGACGGCGCCAAGGGCCCAGGGTGGTCGTGTGCGTCCGCCGCCGGCCAAGCCGCAGGTCGACCAGAAGACGGCCATGATCCAGGCTCAGTATGGCGGCTATATCAAGGTCAGCATCTATATGTAGAGAGAGCGTCAGTGTGTAATTAATGGCCACTCACTGCTGCGTCTGTGTGCGGTTGTGCATGTGAACAGGACGCGAAGGCGCGCTTGCTGGCGCATTGGAAGAAAGTGAACCTCATTAGCCGTGTAAGCGAGCTTGATTGAAGGGGTCGGCAGACCGGTCGTGTGTACATGCATTGATTGCATGGCCCCCGCATTCATGTGTGCAGTTGGGGTGGATAGAGTTTGATGGCGAGCAGCTTGGCCGCCTGCGGACCGTCCATGAGAGGCTCGAGGACCTCATGCTGCTGCTCGTGGTAACTGAACATGCACTGGTTGATGGACGCCTCAGGCAGGGATGGGTGCAGATCAAGAGGCACTCTGGCGTTGTATGTCTCTGTCTATGTCTGTCTGTGTGTCTGTGTGTCTGTCTATGTGTCTGTGTGGTCAGGATGAGGGCGAGAAGGCCGTGGACCCAGCGGTCATCCAGACCACCCTGATAAAGGCTCAAAAGTTCATGCAGGTCATGCCCTCCCTCTACCAGCAGCTCGACACCTGCTCGCCCTCACCCGACGAGGGGCCCCCTCAATTCAGGACCACACAGCCCGTCAAAGTCACTGGTAGGTACTACAACCACCACAACCGACACACCCACGCCACATATGCTCACCATTTCCCCCCCCCCCCCTCTCTCTGTCGGTGTGGCTGACGGTCACCTGTCATGTTCATCATCACTTCAGCGTTGATAGACGATATGTGCGGGATGTTGGATCGGAAGGAGCTGGTCCCCGCCCACCTCGACACACTCTGGCCCGTCGGCCGGGACGGCGGCTCCACAGCAGCACCCAACATGGCAGAGAAGCTGCGTCGGGTGCTGGTCACCCACTTCTTCCCCTCCCTGCTCGTCGACCCGCCCCTGCCCCCTCCCCCACCTCCCCCACCTGCCGTCCTCGACAAACTCCGCGCGGCAAAGGCAGCGGCAAAACCGCCGAGGACGCCCAAGACGGGCGTGGACGGCGATGTGGCGGCTGCGCCATCGCCCCGCAACGACAGACGGGATGACGACGGCGAAGATGACAGCGACAGCGTCGGGTTCAGCGACCCATCGGTCCCAGAGAGGGGGGAAGGAGGGGGCAGAGGAGAGGCCAAGGGTGGTGGCGGTGGTGGCGACGGCAGCTTGCCGACATCGGGCGGCCAGGGGGGCAAGGTGCACGGGGGCCATGCAGCAGCGGACGTTCAAGGGCAAAGCGCCCCCCTGAAGCGGACGCACAGCGAGATGTCGGTGACGACCTCACCGGACGGCGTGCGCAAGATCGCCCTCTCCATCAACCTGGAGCTGACCGAGAGATGGGAGGGCCACCCCAGCCCCAGCCCCAAGCGGCCCAAGCTGGCAGACAACAACCCTCCCATCAGCACCGGCCCTTCCTCGGCGCCCCCGTCTCTCGGCAGCAGCAAGGGCGATGTGCAGCAGCTGGCGCCGTCTCCGGTGCCGCCGATGCATCAGTCGCCTGCAGCCGGAATCACCATCAACCTGTCGCCGCCATGGGGGCAGACATGACCGGGCGGGCTGTCATTTAATGGGGGGACGGACATGGCCGTGTCGTGTGGACCGATCGTATGTGGGGGATAGGATATAAGAGACAGACAGACAGATAGACAGATGCGGCGGGTGGGGGAGGCCGACAGACAGACAGACTGATCAATGAATGGATTGTGTGTGTATGGCTGCATACATACATTGACTGACGTTAACAAATTGGTTGATTGACTCATTGAAGCGGGTGCGGGTGGGCTGTTTTTTTGACGACATGTTGGCTGCGGCACTCGGTGTGTGGATGGACGCCCGGGTGCCCGCGCATTTGTGAGCTGGAAGTGAGTGCGGGAGAACGGACAAACAAAAGAAAGCGAGACAAACGGAAGAGTGGCAAGGCGGCCACAGCACAGCAGGGCAGGGCAGAGTGGTGGTTGATTGATTGATAGATACGTGTGTGTATGGTCGGTCAGTTGATTGATGGATTGATTGATTCCCTGACTTTGTCTGTCTGTCTGCCTCTTCTTCTATGTCAGCATTTTTCGTCTGTATTGTCTGTACGCAAGTGAGTGCCCTTGATTGAGATGGCTGAGATGGATGGATGGATAGGTGGATGGATGTGGTGATGCGTCACTGGCCAATGGATGGACGGATGGGTGTGTATAAGCGAGGCTGGGCACATTAATGAGGGACAGAGAAGAGAGCAGTTGACTAACTGACTTACTCGCTGAGTCCTGTTGTGCCGGTCTGTCTGCGTGATGTGCGGGTCTGGTGCAGCCAGGGCTGCCTGATACTCAGGTAGCTCGGGGCCGTTCCTGACCTCCATGTGACTCTGGCAGACTGGTGCGCAGAACAGCATTCAATGACATCTCAGACAATTCCGGCATGGTATGGCCATACATTGCAGGCGCTGTGGGGCTCTTACCAGCCAGTCAACCTGCTTGCACACTTTGAATGAATCGATTCTGTCTGTGTGTCTGTGGCTGCAGCTCTATCTCTGCATCTATACTACTGACGTGTGTGGGTGTGTGTGGATGAGGGCCGTGCACGACCTAATTATTTGCTGACCGACCAAAGGAGAGGAGAGCCGACTGCCTCACTCACTCAACTCACTCACTGCCTCACACACATATATATGCAAACAAACATACATGACATGACATGGATTCATTCATCCGGACATATGCTCCCTCCCTCTACCCTACCTATCTCTCCCCTGTTTCCATCCATGTGTGTGTGTGTGCGTGTGGGGGTCCTGCTGCTGTACAGAGACGGGCGGGCGGGCGGACGGACGGGCTGTTTTGTAAGCTGGACAGACGGGACGGCTGGGTGGCTCTCTGGATTGATGGATTGATTGATGGATTGCTCCCTTAGTCGACACCGTTTTTCTCCCCACCCACCCACCCCACCCACAGTCCTCCGCCCCATGCCATGTCATGCCATGTCATGTCATCCCATCGACCATCGTCTGTCTGCGATCGCGTGAATGCATTTGATTGACAGATAGGCCATGAAGGAGACCACACGAGATGAGACGACGGACACACCAATCAAGGAAGGGTTTTTGCGGAACAGATTTTTCTTCAGCGCAGGCGACCCAGAATACACTCATTACCTGCCTGCCTGCCTGCCTGCATCCATGCCCGCCTGTGTCTGTGTCTGTGTCTGTGGGTGTGGGTGTGGATTTCTGTATTCTTTCTTGGCTGTGTGTCCGTGTGTGGTTGGTTGGTTGGTTGGTTGGTGCCATCCACTGAGTGACGACAATTGATTGGTTAATCGCTGCTCCACACTTGTTTGTGTGAGAATGTGTGTGTGTGTGTGTGTGTGTGTGCGTGTTGCATGTGTGGAGCATGTCGAGAAGAGGAGATTAGTCGAATGAGTGTCCGTCCCATTTGTTCACGTCGGTGCTGGCAGCTGGTGCCGGCGCGTGCGTGTGTGAGTGACCGACTCATTCCATGTCGTCCCATTCAGTCATTACACTAAACCAGTGTTGGTTAGGTTCGCACAGCTCGACCGCATCAAAACCGTGCCGCCCTATACTCTCGCGCACGCACACACACTCTGCTACTGACACAAAAACCTCTTCTAGACGGCTTGGTGGCCGGCAGAATCGATCAGTCAGTCTGTGTGTATGGTGGCTTCGGTGCGTGAGGGTGAGGCCGCCCTCTGCTCCTCCTGGTTCTGTGTCGGTGGGGCCGCCGCGGCCATCTCGTCTGACTTGACCGACAGGGTGTCGCTGTCCTCCACCTTCACGATCCACTCGGCGTCCAGACGACCTACCACACACACATCCACACACACATTGCCCACATCCACTAGAGAGAGAGAGAGAGAACAAGATGTGGGGGGCTGGAATACCGACCGAGTAGCGCCTCCAGGGCGGCCTCGACCTTGGTTTCCTCAGCGGCCTCGAGAGTGATGATAGTCTTGAAGGACGCATGGTGGAAGAAGGGGTAGCTGCCGAAGGTCACCTCCTGGTGCTCCTCCACCGTCGCATCCAAATGGGCCGCTATCTTCTCCTCGACTGCGCGCAATACTACCTGGATCCACAGACAGAGAGAGGGAGAGAGGGAGAGAGGGAGAGAGGGAGAGAGGGATCAAACAGGGAGGGATGGATGGGAGAAGGCCATGGACACTGACCCGTTTTGCAAATATGGGGTTTGAGGTGAGGAAGTGTCTGCAGATGATCTCGACCTTCTTCCTGAAAAACTCGGGGACGCCCGGCAGAATGAACACATTCTCGCACTGAAGGATCGGCCACTCCTTGGCCTGCACGACACATGACAGGTGAAGGAGGGAATGGGTGAACCAGTCGCCCCAGCCACACACACACGGGCACACAACACGTGTGGTGGACGGTAGGTATCCTGCTTACCCCTGCTGAGCTGGGGGCCGTTCGGAGTGTCGCGAATTCGGGCAGCCACGCCATCTTGCGCTGGGCCTGATACTCACACACACACATACACACTCGTGTCTCCCTCCCTCCCTATGTCTCTCTCTGTGTGTGTGTCTGTGTAGGTACCGAAGTGAGGGGCTGTCCGTCGTTGATCCTGAAGGCCAGCTTAATCCGGTTGAGCATGTCATTGTTGATGGCCATCCGCTGGCCGAACGCCTTGGCCACCGCACGCACCGTCACGTCGTCGTGGGTGGGGCCGATGCCGCCAGAGGTGATGACGACATCGAACTTCTGCGACTGCCGGCGGACCTCCTCGGCGATCTCGTCCTCGTCGTCGCTCACAACACTCACTCGACGCAGTGGGATACCTGCAGCCACAGAGTGAGAGGGAGGGAGAGAGATGGGAGAGTGCGAGCAGAGGCGAAGGGTGGGAGGGAGGGCGGACCGGTGGCTCTGAGCTCCTTGGTGGCGGTGTAGGTGTTGGCGTCGGAGGTCTTGCCCTTGAGTATCTCGTCGCCGATGACCACCAGGCTGGCACTCCTGGCCTCCTTGATCTTCCGCCGCCTCGCGTCGATGTCACGCAACTCGCACTCAAGGGTGGTCTCCTGGTCAAATTGACCCATCCATCCACCCATCCGTCTGCATGTGTGTCGCCCACTGACATCCATACTACTTACCCCAGTGGGTATCCTGCCGGCCCTCTCCTTGGCCCAGTCTGCCAGCAGGTATGCGGGCTGGTAGCTGCCGTCCTCGTTGCGCAGCGCCGGGTTCTTCCACGTGTTGTCCTTGCGGCCCAACGACGTGTAGCCCTCGTCATACAGACGGCAATACGGCAGCCCGTGGGTGCGCAGGAAATGCCACACAGACCCTGCACACGATACAAACACACCATGTCCATGACACACATAAGGTGGGTGTGTGGGTGGGTGACCGTAGTCCCAGTCGAGAATGGGGTTGACCCTCATGAAGGGGGGCATCCAGGTGCTGCTGGGTTCGAACCAGCCCTGGTCACCGCAGTTGGGGTCCCCGCGCCGGGTCCCCAGTACAAAGGCCAGCTTGTCGTTGCCGTACTGCTCCTCCTGCAGACCCAAACACTCGGACAAACCATCCACAAAATTGCTGTGGAACACCCTGCACGCCACGCACACAGACACAAATACACACACATGGACGAACACGTACGTCTGTTGTCTGTCTTGTGTATGCGCCCTGCCCTCTCCTGTCTGTCCCACCCACCCACATGAGGTCGATGTCGTATTGCCTTTGGGTGTCCCACACAAAGTCCCTCACTTCCTGGAACTCAGTCTGGTTGTTCTCGAAGTAGATGGCGCGGCACCTCCCCGTCAGCAGCTCCCCGTACCCCTCGGCCAGCAGGGTGTCGACGGGCACCTCTTCGTCCAGGTTGGCCTCTGACACCGCCCGGCCGCCCTTGCGTCGCCGCGCGTCACGCATTTTGTCGTAGAGGTATTTGGCCAGCGCCGCACGCATCAAATGCAGGATCAGCACGGCGTCCTTGCCGCCGTTGAAGGAACACACCACACCCTCTGGGCCGTACAACCTGCATGATGCACAGTGGGTGAGATGACACGTGTTGGGTGGATGGCTGAGGGTACCTGAGTGCATCCACGAGGACTCGCAAAGATCTTCCTGCGATCGGTTCAAGCATGGGGTCCTCGGTGCCATCCAGCTCCTTGTAAAGCTCATAGCTCTCCCTGAACGAGCTCTCACGCCACCGCCCGCCGGTCTCAGTCCGCTCTATCCTCCCAGACACGCCAGACTCAGACCGCACACGCGATCCCCCACTCTCTTTCTCGCCATACACCGACGTCGCGCCAGTGGTCCCTGCCGGCGTCCCGTCGCCACCCCCAGCCATGCCCGTCAGAAGGCGCCTTGCACGAGGCCACGATAATAAGAGTGGGAACCGGCCGCTGCTCGGTTGCTGTGCCGGCCAGTGACGCGGGAGAAGGGACGCTGTGGATGGCGGGAGGGTGCGGACAGGGGGGGAGAGGAAGAGGGGCGATGACGGTGACTTATGATAAGTAGGTCGATGCACAAAACCTGAATGGCACGAACAATCACACATGAATGAAGCACAGAGGTTGAGGTCTGTCTGTGAGCGTCTGTCTGTCTGTCTGTTGATACCCTACCTACCTCTGGAGCGGGTGAGGGTCATGCGCCAGAGGAAAAGGGTGCAGAGAAGTGAGGACAGGAGTGCAAGACCCATCCATGCACCTCAGCCAGTGCAACAAGGCTGCTGACGGATGCGCTGGCCACGCTAAACAGCAATGATCTGATCCAATCGGAACAGCCGCCTTGACCCGCTTCACAGGCTGCCAGCAGCAAAGGGCAGATGTCGAACACTGAGTATAGCTCTTTCGGCAGATTCTGTTGTCGCTCGCTCCGATCAGTGTTGCGTCCTCCTTTCTCCTTCCTCCTTTCCTTGCCTCTTGGCTTAGCTCACATATGAGCTCGCAAACTGATCGGCGATCAGGGAGAACGGGCAGGCCGCTTAGGTGGACGCCTGACAAGCTCCCCTGACTGCCTGCATTCCATTTTTTCTTTCGCTTGCCATCGCACGAGCCCTTCGAGGGCGGAAGCTCTGCGATGGCCATTTCATAATTCGTTGGCGCTGCTGCTGCGTTGGGTAACGCCTTGAGCGAGTCTAGGGTGCGTGCTGTGCTGCTATAGGAGGAATAATGGAGACCGGCACACAGGCGTCGACGCTCAACAACACCACCACCATCACTGTCCCAGGTACCAGGGGGCTTTTGGGAAGAAGGACAGGCAGGCAGCAGCTGAGGCAGACAAGGCAGCCAGACGTAGCTAAGGGAGCAACATGAGAGGCGTGATGGAAGGGTAGTCTGTCGGACATGGCACGGCTGCCCGCATGCATCTTGCACGTCAAGTCCCCTCTCTCCCTGTCTGGTCTGCTGCGTGTATCTGTTAGGATCTGACAAGCTGCTGGAGGGGTTAGGTGCTCACGAGCTGCACGCGTGCTTCATGCACGTGTCGGTCCAAGGCTGCCTGGCCCTGCGCACCTCCTGCCGTGAACTCTACCGCATCCTGTCCAGCGACGCCTTGTTCTTCCGCCACCGAGTCAGCGCCCACCCTAAGCGGCGGTTCGCCCCGTTCGGGGCGTTTTCGCGGTCGCGTACGTGGGAGAGGGCGGCTTGGGTGCTCGAGCAGGAGTGGGATTGGTGCAGATGGGCGCTGTTCTTCCAATTCCTTAGGTCTTAAAGCGACGGACGCGATATATCGGCGGCCAGACAAGAGGGGCTGGCAGCCACGAATGTGTGTGTGTTGTGTGGGATATACCAGGTTGTGGTACGACACGCGTGTGTCGATAAGTGACGATGACTTCGACATGGCTGGCCTGCAGTACAAGACACTGCTCACCCTGCCGGAGACCATAGCGCAATATCGATTCTTCGGTCGGTCATCCACCCTCACATACATTCGCACACACACGAGTGAGAAACCGTTCCATGATTCGTTGTCTGTCTCTGCCTGTGTGTGTGGTCGTGTCAGGTCACCAGGTGCAGACACGGTCAAGCGTTCAGTCGATCGAGCCCCTCAAGGACGACAATGAGGGCGGGCGGCTCAAATTCGTCTCGCCCGCTCTCCGCAAAGGCAACAACGCCGCCTGGGTGGAGGCCGCGGACATCGGCCAGCGGGACCCCGCTGTGCACATCTGCTCCACGGACCCGGAGAAGGTGACCGACCAACCACATATATAATACACGCCCACTTTTGTGTACCGTTGCTGCTCTTGTGTCTGTCTGGGGTGTGTATGCGTGTGTGTAGCAGGTGCGTTTGCTGGATCGTTTCAACCATTTCTCGACCTTTGTGCCGTGCCTCATGCTGCAGGCTGCCGTTGCCGAGTGAGCCATCCAGGCAGCCGATACACGACACCAGATCCCTTCGTCAATTTGCCTCTCTCTCTCTCTCTCTGCGTGCGTCAATAGGATCAAGAACTACCAGGTGGTTGCATTCCTGACGACTGACCTGCCGCCGGTGCAGGACGTGCTGCAGAACAGAATGGGACTCGTGTTCGTCGGGCGAGCCGTCGCACGACAGGTAGGTATCCACCCACATCCATCCATCCATCCATCCATGGGTGTGTGCATCCCTGCCATCCTACAGGGTCACGTAGCATTGATGTGGTTGACGTCTCACGACAGCGAGCAGCTGGTGTGGGTCGGCAAGACCAACGAGGGCTCATTCGTGCGGCTCTGCATGAGGGGACAACGGCACCACGACGCCATTCGGGCGCTGCGCGACTTCGTCCGCCGACTCAAGAGCAGCCCACGCATTACTTTCAGCTTCACTAAGGCCATGGAAATATTCGACCCCGCCGAAGGCACCAACAAACCACGGTCCGTCAGTCCTGCCATCAACCAGCAAGACAGACAGACAGATACAAACCCATCTCCCTCTGTGTGTGCAATGTCGTCAGTTTTGTGACAGCGGACGAGTTGCTGGAGGTTGGTCCCCGGGAGGAGAGTGAGCCCATCCCCATCCCACCATCACAGCCGCCAGCAGGGGGCATCGGGGCGGTTGGGGGGGATGGGGGCAACGACGAGGCAGACGATGACGACGGCCTGGATGTCCAAGACGACGACCAGCCCATGCCCCACCAGGACGGCGGTGGTGCCGCGTCGACGTTCGACGCTGTGTCTCAGCCGCAGTCACAGGCCGCTGGTCCGCCTGCTGCTGCTGCTGCATCGCCCCCTGCGGCGTCTGGTGCGTCTCGTGCGTCTGCTGCGTCGGCATCGATGGACGTGGTGGATGAGGACGGCGACGCGATAATGGCGCTGACGGATGTCCAGGCCAACAGCGGCAGCAAGCAGTGACATAGATAAACAAACCACATGAGCGAAGGGCTCCCTTTGAGGTGAGGCGGGCGGGGTCAGCCGGGAGAGAGAGATCGATGATGACAGTCCGAACGAGGGAGGCGTTCTGGCTTCTTGTGTGTCATTGCGATAGATGTCCTCAGATATGGTTGGTTAACCGCTGCCGCCCGCAGAGAGAGACAGACAGCCAGCCAGCCCCTTTCAGCGGCCTGTCTGTCTGTCTGTCTGGTGTACACATAGCTAGCGTGTCTCCCTGCCTGTACACATAGCTAGCGTGTCTCCCTGCCTGGCTGGCTGCCTCCCCCTCCCCCGTCTGTCTGGTCTGCCTCGTGTGACACGACAACAGACAGACAATCTATTGTGAGTGGCTTGCCTGCCCTCCCTGTCATCAATGTGATTGATGCCTTTCTTCGTGCCTGCCTGTGGTCGTTTACTGCATGGCTGGCTGGCTGGCTGGCTGGCTGGCTGGCGTGTGTGTCTTGAGGGGCTCAAGGCCGACAGACGACGAGAAAGACAGACAGCGAGAGGGGGGGTGAGGCAGCACAGAAAACGATTTCACTGCGGCTGGCTGGCACCAGGAATGATAGATAGGGATGGCTAGTTGCGCCGGCCGGAGGGGTGTGTGTGTGTGTGCGTGCGGACAGACGATGCAGTGACTCCCTGCAGGCCCCCAGCTTTAAACCTGTCAGTGCACGCGCCCGCCAACCATGTCAACGCCAATCACTAACAATATCACACACTCACACAGGCAGGCACAGCGATGCCCGTCTCATCCATCCATCCATCCACACACACAAAACTCCACGGTGCATTCGGAGTCCCTTGTGCTTGTTTGGATGTGTGGATGACATCTGTCTATCAACGACATACATACGACAAAGGCCAATCGATGCACGCAGGTCCAGGTGACGCGACAAGGGAGTGGCATTGCCACAGCTCGTCCATCACCAGAACTCATAGCCACCCTGCCTCGACCCATCGTCCACTGACGGCCCCTCAGCCACCAACCCCGAGCCCCAAGAACCCTCATCCACATCGCCCCCATCAGCCTCGTCAACAGGCCGTCTCCTCCTCCCGCCCTGCCTGAACCGCATATCCCTCGCCCGTCGCTTCTTGCGCTCCAGCCGCTGCAGCAGCTTCTCGTCGTCAGTCAGCTGCCGGGGCTGCTGCTCGGACTGGTCGTCATCGCCCTCAGTGCCCATGAGTACCTTGCCGATGCGCTGCTGCACCTCTTGGAGGAACTCCCTCTCCTGCTCAAGGAGGAACTCGAAGCCCTGGGTGGCGTCAGAGGGGTCCAGGTCGGTCAGCACACCGGCGATCTGCATCGAGGGGGTCTCCTCTTTCAGACGACTGAACGAACAAAGGAAAGGCATTCATAGAGAGGGAGAGAGCTGTGTGCATGTGTCTGCGTGGGGGATGATAGGGGCTTACAGCCGCATAAGGAAGAGGTGTGTGGTCCAGGTGTTGGATTCCCCGCGTGTGAGGCCGTAGCCGTCGCAGAACTCGTTGTAGGGGTCCGACAGCACCGGGAAGGAACACACCTCCTCCATCTCCTCGTTGGCACTCGCGCTGTCCACTGTCACAGCGGCAAAGGCCACCTAAACACACACACACACACACAGTGAATGGGACGTGGTCGCCATATGATGCCGTCCGTGTGTGTGGGTGTGACTGCTCACTGGGAAGTGTCTGGGTATGTCGAGCCATGGCTGTCTGTCTCCCAGGTTCTTGAGAGTGGCCTTTAGCTGCTCGCTGTTCGGCCTCGCGTCAGCCAGCAACGCCAAGTAGCGAAACGGCCTGACCCATACACATGAACATGCGACAATGCCTCTAACGAGTGTGGGCTTGTGGGCATGGCTGACCTCAGTTGGGCAACAAAGTCGCCCCTCTTGCCGTTCGACGCCACGAGCTGCCTCCAAGGACCGAGAGGCGCCTTGTCGCCCTTCTTGGGGTCGGACAGGAAGGACTGGTCGGCCTTGAGCTCCGCCAGCCGCCTCTCGACGTCAAACATGACGGGGTTGACGGCGCTCTCGTCGGTCTTGGCCGAGGAGGTGGTTGAGTCGGGTGCCCTGTCGCCCCCCTCTGCTGACTCGGTCTGCTGGTCGAGCATCTCCACCATCAGCTTGTCGTACTTGTGACGCAGCTCCTCCTCATCTGATGGGACCAACCATCCATCGCAGAAAAGCTCTCGTGTGTGGCTGGTGGAGGAATGGGTGGGTGGGCAGGCAATGCCTGCCTGCCGGCCTACCGTTCATA